TCAACCGGCAACCACGGAAACCGTGCTTCGCGTTCCTTTCGTTTTTATTTTCACTTATTTGGACTTGTCGTCTTTGTGAAATAATATCGAGGATAACAGGGAGAATTTGGAGAATCTCGATTTGAAGAGGAACGAAGAATTTCGTGAATGCCGCACGCTCTGGAAGAATAACTCTCGATTTGCTTTTGATCTTTCTCCTTTCGAGATCGAAGGGAAACACAATGTCGGAGTAACAATAAAAAAGAAAATTGCTATTTGAGACGAAAGCGGAGAATCTTACGGGCGCTGAAGTGCGTAGAAAGTAGTGGGCGTTTGGCTGGGCACTTCGATCGAGAAGGTTCAAGCGAGCGTGGGCGGATGTAAGGGGTGGTTCCGTGAGCTAAAGTTCTTACGAGTTTGACTAACTGGAAGCTCTTGCGCAGTGTCCCCGGTTGAACTCTGTTGAACCGAGTTCGAGAGATAGTATTCATTTCGGAGTACTCCTCGGCAAGGTACTTTCAATTTTCCTTCAGTGTCCTGATTAAGAACGTCTCCGAATCATCTTCGACATGATGACTGTCGAATTATCCGGTCTAAAGCCGAGTTATCTTATTGTTTGCTAATACATTTCGCAATGAAAACGACGTAAACGAAAGCACAGTTTTTTCTAACCTTTCGACATTTTCCCTACCTTTGATGGGATAAATTTTCTAGGCCACTGTGGAAACACGTGTAGGAGACGATGATTCGCTGTTTTCGAGTCGGGTGAAGAGCGTACGGTGGCCGTTCGATAAAAGCCGAACGCAACGAGCTCGCCGGATGTTCGGTTATAAAAATCGCCGGATAGAATTTCCGGCCTGGCACAGAGCTTAATGCAGCGCGGTTTATTCCTTCGCTCGTTTCGCTGAAAACAGACGTGCGTCTTACTTTCATCGCGACGTAGCGGTACAATCGAGCTCGGAGGGAAAAGGAGAAGAGAAAGAAGGATAAAAATCGAGCCACGCCACGAGAGTTTCTTCCTTCGCTCCCTTTTTTCTCCGATTGCGTAGCAACGAGCAAACCGTGAGAGAGGAAAAAGAAAGTAGAACAGGGTAATTGAGGATTAACGACGCAGATAGAAGCGAAGCCGAACAATTAGAAATTTTGTAATTAGTTGTACACAGTGTGTGTGTGTGCAGAGCCAGAGAACCTTCCGGGGATTGGAATTAAAATATTTCAAACTTTGGTAGTAATTAAAATATTACGCAAAAATGTATAATTTAAAAAGTACAATTTAATGTACAATTTAATACCGCGTTCGTGCGATTACAAATATTATTTTTGTCTTTAATTTTCCGATTGTTTAGTCCGGGAAAACCGATAAACGAAGACACAGAGCTGTAATGACCCTCGCAGGGAAAGAACCTGAAGCTACCCTCGAGCGATAACCCCAAAAGAAGTGTCAAAACAGGTGTCCGACGCCATTTCTCACCTTTCGCCCTTCTCACACCAATAAAGGCAACGAACTTTATTTCCCAAGTACGAATTGTTTCGTAGAATTCTGCAGAACATGTTCACAGATGGAACTCCATTCGCATTCTAACTTCTATAATAAAACCCAACGCAACAACCTTTACTTTATGGTTTTAATCAAAATTCAAAGGCTTAACGATGTCAACGAGACTCGAAGCTACATTCGAATTACAAAAGAAAAGTGGAGGCAAAATCAATTCGAGGAGACTGGAAGTTTCTTCTTTCGAAGAATTCTTTTCGCGATCTGATCCGAAAGAAAGCCGACGAATCAAACAAAATCGAAGTGAAATGAATTCGAGAAGGCTTTGCCTTTGGAGGGACAGAAAGCGCGCAGGATAATTGCGTGCGCCGATACACGCTTGGCCTATTACCACCGTGAAGAGAAGAAGAGGGGGAGAGAGAGAGAGAGAGAGAGAGA